GAAAACATTCAAAAGTGCAGACGGTAAAACATAGAATTTTTTATTTTATTTTTTACAAAATTACTCCAAGGTCAATAGGTCAAATATGTTGGTACATAAGGAAAGGTCTGGTCACAAGGAATACACTTACGTGTAGCTTGTAAATTATGAAAGCCATATCTCCGACCAAACAAAAGGTATGAGCGAGGTTAAAGTTTTAGTAGACACAGATGGATGGACAGGGCAAAAACTATACACCTCCAAATCTTTATTTACAGGGGCATAAAGACCTTTCAATATACATTGTATATGGCATCTACTGAATGCAGGAAAGTCTGTTGTAATTTCAATCAATTTAAAATGAATAGTGATTTTTATAAATGACTAATTGCAACATCAAGCAAGTTTAAACTTTGACATAACTGCCTTTTTTAAGCAACACTATTTTGGTAAGAATTTGCTAGCTTACGAGTTAAACACTTAAACATTGATTCTTTTACAAGAGTAGAGTGTTATTTACTGATTAGTTCCTGCAACAAAGCATGCTTTCAATTTTGTTTTCAACCATAGGAGGGCTGCACTGTAGTTTTTCTTTTGCTAAAACTTTAATTCCCCTTTACCCAAGAATGTTTTGAGATTGTTTTGTTTAAAATGGCCCATTGGTTCTTGAAAAGAAGTAGAAAATTTTAGATGAAAGATCACATGAAAGGCAGATGCTGGACACAGCTTTCAGCTCAGAGGAGCTAAAAATGTAAGCCCCAAATTAATTACTGATACAATAAAATAAACATAGATGCATCCTTCACCCTTTCAATAAAATATATAGATGAAAAGTACATTAAAAATTCCATTATTTTATTCTTCAGACAAATTCAATCTTGTCTAGGTAGAATTTTAACACACTTGTCATTTATTAGTTCAGTTAAAAAAATTTCCATCAGAGTGTAGATTGTCACATGTACTTCACAAAAGGCTCAAAGCTTTTAAGACCAAAACAAAATACATACAATATATACATGCATAATCACACTTTGGAATAAAACACAGAATAAACAAACATATTGTTACCTACAACATAAAGTTTATTATGCAGAACAGAAATTTTAAGCAAAATACATCAATGGCATAATGTGCTGACTGCTCTTAATGTTTGCAAATTTTAATGGTAGGCCATATTGTGGAATTAACCTTTAGTATGACCCGACTGGCTTGATTCACAATTTTAAACCTAATCAGTCAAAATGTCTTCATACATATTTCTAAACAATTACAGTATGTAGCCAGTTATAATTAAGATTAATTGTAGACAAGAGAGTAAAAAAAATTAAATAGCCATCTATCAAGCATGAAATAATTCATGATAATTAAAAGATTTAGGAGAACACTAAATCAATGCGCAGTAAAATAAAATGATTACATGAGAGTTGATTTGAATACTAATGTAATGTACCTTTAGATCCTGGCTCAGGGCCATGAAACTTAACAAGGCCACTTTTGATTTCAGTCTCACTTTTCCTTTACATACATTGTATTCCTTTATTTCCTATATTTAAATATACTTTTATTTTCTATATTTATATATAGTATGTTAAAGTGAGACTGAGATCAAAAGTCTGCGCATCTAAGTTTTATGGCAGCAGAACCTGGTTGAAAATACGTTTAATGATTTAGGATGAAAAATTTCAATTGTAGTGTCCTACTCTGTATCATCTTATTGTCTTAATTCTCGGCATGAAAGATATGCACATACATTGCTGCAAAAACAAAAGTCAAAACTCTGAACATAAAACCAGAAGTCTCTGTTGAGACTGTAGCTCTACTGGTTTGTACTAATAACCAGAAGTCTCTGTCGAGACTGTAGCTCTACTGGTTTGTACTTATAGCGAAGGAAGAGAAGAGTACTTAAGCAGCTGGGATTTGAAACTTCACAACAGCAATATATAGAATAATGATCGTTGATAAAGTCTCTTTATGTTCTTAGTGTAGTCTACTTGTGTGCCAAGTTATATTGAAATCAGACCAAAACTGTAGGAGGAGTAGCATTTTGAAACAATTTTACAGACATTTCAATTTTTAGTAACCATGGCAACACAGTTCATCAAAATTAAAATTTGATACACAGAATTATGTATCTTAGTTTATCCCGCTTCAGACAAATTTGTAGATTGCTGATTGGATAAAAGCTGATCACGTGACGCCCTGAAATTTTCCATATTACGTCTCCGTTTCCATATTACGTCTCCGTCGATGCGTAATATGAAAATCGGGCACGCGATTCCGTTCGAAGCGTTGTTAATGTAAATAAAAATGGCGGCTAAGAAACAATTTACGTAGGTAGTTTAGTTAAATTTCTTGTTACCGTAACGATATTTTATGTTGATTGTTATTGGATTAAAACTTAATATTTTCATAATATGCACAAATATTTTTTTTTATTGAAAAAGGTCTTCAGCGGGATAAATTCGTAACACAGTCAGTTAGTGACCTAATACGGAGTCATACAGCCTCGCCCAATACGGATTTCCATTTCACACCCTGTATGACTCCGTATTAGGTCACTAACTGACTGTGTAACTAATAGTATTCTACTTGTGTGCCAAGTTATACTGAAATCAGACCAAAACTGTAGGAGGAGTAGCATTTTGAAACAATTTTACAGATATTTCTATTTTTAGTAACCAAGGCAACACCGTTCATCTAAATCAAAAACCGATATACAGATTTATGTATCTTAGTGTATTCTACTTGTGTGCCAAATTATACTGAAATCAGACCAAAACTGTAGGAGGAGTAGCATTTTGAAAGAATTCCACAGAAATTTCTATTTTTAGTAACCACGGCAACACCGTTCATCGAAATCAAAAACCGATACACAGAATTATGTATCTTAGTGTATTCTACTTGTGTGCCAAGTTATACTGAAATCAGACCAAAACTGTAGGAGGAGTAGCATTTTGAAAGAATTTCACAGAAATTTCTATTTTTAGTAACCACGGCAACACCGTACATCGAAATCAAAAACCGATAAACAGAATTATGTATCTTAGTGTATTCTACTTGTGTGCCAAGTTATACTGAAATCAGACCAAAACTGTAGGAGGAGTAGCATTTTGAAAGAATTTCACAGAAATTTCTATTTTTAGTAACCACGGCAACACTGTTCATCGAAATCAAAAACCGATACATAGAATTATGTATCTTAGTGTAGTCTACTTGTGTGCCAAATTATACTGAAATCAAACTAAAACTGTAGGAGGAGAAGCATTTTGAAAGAATTTCACAGAAATTTCTATTTTTAGTAACCACGGCAACACCGTTCATCGAAATCAAAAACCGATACACAGAATTATGTATCTTAGTGTAGTCTACTTGTGTGCCAAGTTATATTGAAATTAGACCAAAACTGTAGGAGGAGTAGCATTTTGAAAAATTGTTTACAGACAGACGGACAGACAGACAGACAGACGGACAGACGGACGGACGCCAGACGCATTACTATCGCATAAGCTCTTCTGGTCTCTGACCAGTAGAGCTAAAAAAGGATGAGAAAAGAAACCATTGCCATCAGACCGATACTGTAGAAGGAGTAGCGTTTTAAAGGAATTTCACAGACATTTCTAATTTTAGTAACAATGGCGAAACTGTTCATTGAAATCAAAAACCGATGTACTATTTTATGTATCTTTGTGTCTACTTGTGTGCCAAGCAATATTGAAATCAGATCAAAACTGTAGGAGTAGTAGCATTTTAAAGGAATTTCACAGAAAATTCAATTTTAGTAACCATGGCAACAATCGTTCATCGAAATCAAAAACCGATGCACTATTTTATGTATCTTAGTATAGTCTACATGTGTGCCAAGTTATATTAAAATCAGACCAAAACTCTAGGAGGAGTAGCGTTTTGAAAAATTGTTTACAGACGGACAGCTAGACAGACAGACGGACGGACGACGGACACCTTACTATTGCATAAGCTCTTCTGGTCTCTGACCAGTAGAGCTAAAAAACTACCATACAATGATAACTACTATAGTACAACATTAAATAACAGAAAGGCAAGAACACTGTTAATCAATGTAACATTTTGAAATGCTAAAATGAAATTTTTTTCAAACACATGTACATCAAAGATTTCATTGTATACATGTACATGCATTACTAATCCATGTACCTTACACAATGTTGTTTGGTTAAAATATTTATATGGACTAGAGTGTTTTGAACACTGCTAGTTTATGCACCTATAAATTGTTGACAATAGCTATATTTCTCTTTGCCAAAATATGAAAATTTTCATTTGACCAAATTAAGTTAAAGATACATGTACATACTGTTGTAACATGCACTTTGAAACTGAGATACTAATAAGTAATCAGACTGTATCCTAATATGTTAATTAACTTCCAAACAATAACTCCGAGTTTAATAATTCAGAAAAATTTATATGCCGTCATATCAATTTCTTTCTCAAAAAACATGCATATATAATACACAAAGTTTTTAACCATAGTCAAAATTAACGGAATCATATTATATCAATAAACATTTGATAAGGCAATCACTTGACCATGATTATATAAAATAATGTATGTGTATTTTATTTTATCTTATTAAGTGAGAAACAAATCAGAAATGACCTAAAAATTTGATACAGTAAAAAAAATCTAACAAAATAAAATATGCTAGCAAAAATATTCCAATAATTTCATAAATATGTAATTAAATAAGAAAAATCCATCAAGTAAATGAAAACAAATATTTCAAATTATACATGTATATAACCCATCATACATGTAGATGGACTTAAATTTAATTACCTTCATAAATAATGTGATATAACAAAACAAAATGATTAAATAAATAAGTACAACATAATAGTTTTTAATTTCAGCAACATTATTCGTTATAAAATGTCTCAACTTCTCCATTACAGGTTCCTATATTTGCAGTCTGACTAAAGCCAGACCTCTATTTACACTATCACATAGCAGATCTGATCCTCTATGCGAAATCATAAAGGTCTGGCTTTGGTCAGATTGCTATACTTGCAAATTATTCAGTTAACAGTGAAACTGAAATAAAATTGATATTGGAAAAACGTTGATCTGAAAATTATTCAGTTAACAGTGAAATTGAAATAAAATTGATATTGGAAAAACGTTGATCTGAAAGTAAGTGATGAACTACCGAAAATTTTACAGAATACATAAATAAAAACTTTCCCAGTAAATAAAAAATACAGAATACTTGTTGCTCTAAATGTATTTGCTAAACATTTCCCTTTTCTTATTACAAAACAATTGTAAGAATTTAATATGTTCACATACACATGTAATTTTTCTTATCAGATTGAGAAAATTCATGACACATACTTTACACATAATCAACACCAGAATTTAATTTATAAAGATTAGGATGACATATCTTTCACTGTTCTGAAAATGACCAATAACAAGCGATTTTATTCCTGGCTCTGAATTTCTGTCTGTAGTTGTGATTATTGCTGCAATTTGTCCATGGAATGGCATATCTAACTTTGTCTTTCATTCAATAGGTCCCAGATATCTCTGAATAAAACTGTCCAAGTTCTTATCCAAGTAGTCTGCTTTATTTCTGTACAATGGAAAATCATTTTACAATGGATCTAATTTTACATGTGCCACAAATATAAATTTGCAATGTGACTTGAAAAAATTTTTGAAAAAAAATATATATACACAATTTGCTATTTCAAAAGTTCAAAAGCAAAAGCTTTTCTCATCAAAAGATTGTTAGTATGCTCAGCAGACAAAATGAAAAAAAATAAATTGGTCAGAACATTCACTAACAAAACGTCCATTATTTGATTTTTTGTAACTGAATGTTTACCTGAGTGTTTTGCCTTTAGAACTGATATCCCGTAGACGTGAAATCTCCCTGTCCAGGTCGTTAATTTCCTCCTCTAAGCCTTGTTTGGAAATATCCACTTGGTTACAAAGTCTGGCAAAGGTGCTGGTCAGTTCTCTGTGGGAAATTTTAATATTATTTAATAACTTTCAAAATGATCTTTCAAAATAACTCTACATTTACACATGACTCACAAAAACATATTTGGATTACATGTACACATCAAAATCCTTTTCCCCCTCAACAATCTAATCCTTCAAATAATTTTATCAATCCAAAATCAGTATATTTACTTTCAATGCTTTTCAAAATAAGATATGCAGATGATAAGGCATGAAAATATGTAGCTATGTATAATGTAAGCACTTCTCTAAGAATTAACTCAGTAAAGTTTTTATTTAATTAGCACTAAGAGAACAATGTGACGGTAGAGTCCTTACTGTTGTACTTGGTGGCTACAGTTGGCACTGGTGAGATCTACTATCAGCTTCAGTTTACTGGCCACGTAATCCACGTACTGCTTTTTGAAGGCCCTCTCCTTGGCTTTGTTGGTCCAGGTCATTCTCTCGTAAAGGTAGAGAACTCCATACAGGGCCCCCACCACAGCAATAATACGCCAGCCCGCTACCTTGGCAACCTACCACAAAATAAAAAGCATTGACTTTATTTCAGGTTTGACACATTAAAGAACATGGTGACCTATTTTTAACACACCTTCTTTCCTAAGATGTATCAGCTGATGAAGTTAAATTATTTAAGGCCTCATTATATTTACATGTAAGTTTTGAGCTAGACAATGTCATGACATAGCTGACAGAAAGATTTGGTACATGTACATACATATAAAAAAATAAACACATTGTTTGTTCTGCATGAATGGAGAACTGCTGGTAAGAATTAAAGTAACACTTATAAATTCTGGGCAGGCTCCTGAACAGGTAATTTCTTGAAAAGAAAAGTAAATAAATGGAAATATATAGAGAAAATCTCACCACTCCTCCTATTATAAGAGCACCCATTGTTGTTCTTGACGAAACGGAGGCGACTGTGGTAATTACACCCACTAGCAGCTGGTTATTCTGTGACTGTCCAGGAATTGGTCTGGGGACCTGTCAAAAGCAGGCAATGGATCATCACCCCATTTTCCAGATTTTATCACCAATAGAATTCTCATCAATGGCCATATCAAAGAGAATTCTCTAATGAAAACTATGGAATCGATTCAAATTATAAAACAAACACTTACAGTATTGCCCTGTCCAGTCAAGACTGTTCTCATTCCCTTGGGACCCAGGAATCTCTCCATCATGGCTGTGATTCCAAAGGAAAATCGGAACTGGATGTCCTCCTGGAAATCGGCACAGAGGTTTCTGCAGTCCAGGCGATAGGCAATCTCAAACTGGTTCTTTGGCAGAACATTGTCGAGGTTCTGTCTGTTCTCATCAGGTAGTAAGGCTGAGAGGCGATCTGACCAAAAAACATCAAATATATTACCATATCCTCATTTATTGTCTGATACACTTAAAATGAAGAATTCATTTCAAAATTTTTATTAGTGTTCAATTAAATGAAAATCATTTTAATTCATTCCATATAACTTAATTGATTCAATAAATCATCAAGAATTTTCTTTCAAAACGGAAGAAAAAATGTCAAAACAAAAAATATTAAAAGCATTCAAGCAAAATTTCAAAAACTGAATTGAAGCTACATACATAGAAAACATTAACTTCTTATTTCCTTAATAAAAAAAACTGCATTCCCTCTAAATCAATAAGAGTGTTAACAAGAGGTCCAGGGGCCACAGCGCTCACCTGAGTACATCGGCTAGGAAAAAGCACATAGATCAGAACTGAAAGTTTACTGAGGCGGGGGAGGGGCTTGAATTTTAACCCCCAGGGGTTCATGATTTGAACAAACTAGAATCTACACTACTTGAGGATGATTCCGCATGAGTTTCATCTTTCCTGGTGCAGTGGTTCTTGAGAAGAAGATTTTTAAAGATTTTTCCTATATATTCCTATGTAAAACTTGGGTCGGCCATTTTGGCCCCACCCTAGCCCCGGGGGTCATGATTTGAACAAATATGAGTCTACACTACCTGAGGATAATTTTACATGAGTTTCATCTTTTCTGGTTCCAGTGGTTCTTGAGAAGAAGATTTTAAAAGATTTTTCCTATATATTCCTATGTAAAACTTGGGTCAGCCATTTTGGCCCCACCCTCGCCCCGGGGGTCATGATTTCAGCAAACTTGAATCTACACTACCTGAGGATAATTTTACATGAGTTTCATCTTTTCTGGTCCAGTGGTTCTTGAGAAGATTTTTACAGATTTTTCCTATATGTTCCTATGTAAAACTTGGGTCGGCCATTTTGGCCCCACCCTAGCCCCGGGGGTCATGATTTGAACAAAATTAAATCTACTCTACCTGGGGATGCTTCGCCTTCCACATGAGTTTTATCTTTCCTGACACAGTGGTTTTTGAGAAAAAGATTTTTAAATGATGCCATTAATTTTTCACTAATTCATAATTATCTCCCCTTAGAAGAGGGCTTGGCCCTTCATATGAACAAATTTGAATCCCCTTCACCTAAGGATACTTTGTGGCAAGTTTGGTTGAAATTGGTTCAGTGGTTCTTGACAGGAAGTCGAAAATGTGAAAGAGACGGAGAGAAAGAAGAACACCAGACAAAATGTGATCAGAAAAGCTCATTTGAGCCTTCGGCTCAGGTGAGCTAAAAAGTCAGGTTAAAGTTAGTCTGTTAGAGCTAATCTTCAGAAAACTAAGTTACAAGTTTGCAGGTTGATGCCTCTCTTCACGCAAGTATATAATTTTTATATAATTATCTGTATTTGATAGTTAAAGATGCATATAATATGTATATACATGTATATATCTGTATAAACCTAGTAATAATTTATGTACAGTTGTATTATATAATAGTTCATATGCAAACATTGTTGATGTACACGACTTAATTCAAACATTTTTGGGGATATTCATTGCTTTGCCCCCCCCCCCCTCTCTAACCATATCTGTACTAAGCAGAAAACTAAACAAATCATGCACAATAGAACCATTTCTACATGATAATTATCACTGTCCTCCCTTAAGAGATATTTTTCAAAACAATTTTTGACTGACAAATGTTACCTGCCATCTGGCGCTGGGTTTTCTCTACCGTGGATTGCAGCAAATATGAGCACCGATTCTGTAAGTTTTTACCTATTGTGTCCTCTACAAAGGCATGTAACTCCTACCAAGGGGAGATAATGAGTCAAATGAAAAGAAACTCACAAATTGAAAGAGAGAATACAAATGTAACTGGTAATCCTAAAGATAGAACTTGTGGTATGAATCTTTCACACATGTTTGAGAAAAGGTAAATAAGACTTAGAACAACTCACCAATAAAGAATTATTTTTGAAGTTGAGACAATTAATTTAAAGCAAAAAAGCAATAAAAGTTAGAAGGGTATTTATTGCTACTGACTTTGAAAGATTCATACCATAAAAAAAGGCAAGATGTAAGAGGCAGAGAATAAAACTCAAGCAGATCAGCAGCTTAGTAAAGAATTGTAAAATCCATGTGCAAATGATAATTTTTTACTCTGCAATCTGCTTTCAGTGCCATGTTTATTCTGTGCCCGTCACTTCCAAATGTGATATAAATACAGTATGCAAACCATTCAAGAAACCAAAGGTAGTAAATACAGCACATGCTAGCTTTGTTTATTTGTAAAGGAAAACAGGAATCTGATTTTTTTCTTTTTCATTTTTAGAATTTCTTTGTTTTTATTAAGTTGCTGATAAAAATGAAAATTTGAATTTCCCCTAAAAAATTAATTAGAAAACATTGCTAGAAAATTGTTCAGGCTTTTTTGCATATAAATTATATTCGACTTGATATGGTACAGGTCAGAGATTTTCTGAAATCAGATCCCATAATTCCCTTACAAACTGTCAGTGTTGACCCTTACCAAGCATGTGCATTTGTACAGTTTGCACAGCCCTAACTAGATTTGCTGTGCACCTCCCAGTCAAGTTTATCTTGATGCCCTCCTCCACATGGGCATGGAGTTCCTTAGCAACAAGTAAACAAATGTAAATGTCACTCTATATTCATTAAGTTGTACAACTTTCTCATCTTTATCAAGATGCAAACTCAAATACGTAGTTTTATTTTACCCTTCATCTCCAATAACCTTTGCATCCATTAGTGGAATATGTCAAAATAACTTCTGATATTTCACATTAGAAAGATGACTTGTCAGCATTGAACATCAAAATTGTTGTCTTTTATAATGCAAATCTTCACAGAAAATGTTATACAATTTCTAATTTGCAGAATTCAATTAATTAAATCAACTTCTCCTTAATCTGACCTTTTTATAAACTCTTAGAACCATTTCGTCTGGATGGAATGGTCTGTCAAATTCCTCCACTAAAACAGAGAGGCGGTTGATTTCCATGTTCATGGCATAAGAAACCTGAAAGTATAATTAAATATATTTTTGAAAAATGAATGTTTTTATAATAAAATTATCTATCATATTACAATAAGCTAAAACTGTTTGCATGTACAGTTTTGCAGAAAGCACTGCTGTGACCTTGAGATTTGTTAATACAGACAATATGACTTTTTCCTGACCTTTCTCTCTACTTCTTCCACTATTGCTTTGATTTTATCCTTCATCTCAGATGTCAGTATCAGTGTCTGTTTCTCCAGAAAATCCAGCTCACTTGATCTCTCTCCCTTAACCTCTTGTAATTTATCCCTATTTAAAATAGATGAAAAACACATACTTATGGAAAATAGTGCATGTACAAAATGTACATGGAAATTTGGAAGAAGTTAGATGATTCTACCAGTATATCAAATACTGCTCACACAATATGCTAATTTAATGAGAAATAGCACAGAAATTCTGGGTCTTTACACATACTTCTAAAAAATATTTAATTTTCAGCATTTTTTTTTTCATTTACTTTTAATTTTTAGTTAAATAAACAAGCAGCAGCAGCTAACATTATCCAGTACTATATTATATGAAATCCTTAACATCAGCACCTTACAAAGTCTTTACATGTAAGTGTACTGAGAACACTTTACCCTTGCTGTTGACTCCTTTGGTAGGTTTCCTCCATGATGCTTTTAAGACTAGATGTTATGTTTTTACCTCTTTGAGAGTGTTGCTCAAACTTTGTCTTAACAGCTGACTTGGATATACAGATCTATGAATATAAAAAAGGCATCAACCATACATTTTCGAAAAAAAAAAGTCTAGGTATGACTAAGAAGAATTAAACCTCTTTAACATTCACGTATAATCTTGATAAATTACACATTTCATATATCAATTCTCAGTACTAAAGTATTGGTCTTACCTCAAATGCAGTCTCAAAATTTGCAAATGCAAATGCTCTTTCTTGATAATTTCTTTGAAGTACTCCATCTGCCAATAGAAATAAAAAAGATTTATATTTTAGGTTTTTCAAAACAAGATGAACAATCATCAACTAAAAATAAAATGGGAAAACGCAGAAGTAAGAACTTCTCAGATTTGTGTAAGTCATACTCACGTGGTGTAGGAGTCTTGTTGTCTTCGTGTAGACGAGAAATCAGCGTCTCTTTTGCTGAGACAAAAAATATTCTATTCTTGGCTTCCTGTCTGTCGACCACCTTCAGCTGATCGGCCAGAAACTCCACATTTCTCTGATAATGTTGCTCTTTGACCTATTCAATTCAGCTGAAGCATTACAACATGCATGCATACTCATTATCAAGGCATTGATTGAAAGATGAAATGTATGGGAAGAATTTTGTTTCAATGGGATTTAAATAAAAAATAAATGAATTTATTAAATTTAGAAAAACTAAACGATTGTAATTTGACTACCCTTTATAATCTTAAAAGAGTTTTACATAGACACTAGTATATCTAAAATATGAAAAACATGGAATTTTAGAAAATCTATTTACAGCATTTTAAGACATTTTAAATGTAGGTCTATGTTTCACCTGTTCAATCTCCTCTGGATCGTCTTCTCCAACAGAAATGTCCCATCTGTTCTGTAGAATAAATATGTTGGGTTTGGACAACCTTGAACTCACTTTATGGAAAAAATTCTTTTCCTGTTGGGAAAAAAAATGTAATCATTAAACCAGGGAAAAGTTGAAGTTTATATACATATGGCACTCTTTACAAGAATTTTATAACATTTGATGACTGAGCTTATTTGGTGATTTCACATATACACGTAGGTCTGACAAAAGCAAACATTTTTCATATCAAATGACCATTTTAATACATACTGTTTGCATTAGTGTTGATTCAGCATTGGCCACTAAGACAAACACATCAGCATCTAAACAATGGTTATCAATCCAATCATCTAAATCAGGTGTCACATCAATTCCTGGGCTGTCAAGATCAAAGACAGCATTTTAAGATTAACTGTTGTAATGTTATGGGTCAGAATAACCCTAAATGCCAGCAAAGATCAATAACACAATTTAAACTTAACAATAATTTATTTACAGTAATATATGAGCCTCGTCGGATAGAAATCGACCTTATCGTATGCAACGTCATAATGAGAAAAAAGCGAATAAAGTTGAGAAAAATTTCCCGGTATTTTTACTACACATGGCTTTCACGTTAAGAAATTTTTTAGACATCGTCAACTGCAGTTCAAAGATTTTTTCCTTCAAAAAATCGGATCAATTTAAACATGTACTAATAAAATAAACAAATTTTAAATGTATTCCCCTTCATAGAGCCTTATTTTTTATGGATCAGTGTAAACATAAGCCAGAGGAATGCCGAGTCCGATCTACACTTATTTTTTTTTCAAACAGCAGAAGACGTTAGGCCATATCTTACACCAGATAAATGTTAAGTTGGTAGACATATAGCAAAGGAAAAATGGCATGGTGCATTACTGAGGAAGTACAGAATATATTTTTTATTGTAGTTTAGAGTATAAATTTTAGCCATAGGAGACGTAATCTGGCACAGAAATCGCACATGTACTGATGCAGTAATAGCCTAGTGTGTCATCTTCATTTACTGTCATCGTGTGCACATGTATTCAATCATTCACGATTAAAATCGCAATATTATATTAGATATACTTTAATGTTTCATGTCTTTGAATGAATTTACGTGTATTTTCAAATTTATGACAGAAATTAACCAATCAACCAAAAAAAAAACAAAAAAAACATAGCTAGGCATATCGATTCAGTACAAAATGTACAAAGGCCACTATTCAACGACTTTTAAAACGCATTTTTCTATCTACAATATTATCAAGAAACAAATAATGCTGGTATTGTTTAAGGCAATTTCTTTATATATCAGTAATTCTCAAACGGAAACATGTATTGTCCGAAGCGACTGGATTCGATAAATTGTGCAAGTTGCTTCCCTTTGACGCAAAAAGAGGCTCAACACGGGGAATCATTTCCTTAAAAGAGATGTTTTTTTCTCTATCTTAACTTTTGTCTCTCTTCCATTACCGGATTTTAAGTTAATTTTCTTAAATATTTCACTCATTATTTTGCAAGTTTATAAAAATACCGACGATGGATTATCTATGATTTTTAAATTTCTTTAACTTGGCTGGCGCAAATGTTAGAAGATGGGCCCGGTTTGTAAAACATATCCTTCTACGTTATTAATATTTTAAAGAGTTGTAAACCAAAAAAATTACTCTATAGTCGGATGTAAAAAAAAAAAAAACAATAGTTTTGTGAAAGGTGTTCTTAAATATTCAACATAATGTTAAGTATTTTGAACCCCGTTAATACCAAAATTTTCTGCAAAAATCACCTTGAGCAGGATTTCACCTGTTTGTGAATAATAGGAATATGGTTTTGTTTTGTACCAAGACTTTCAATTATAACATCAAAACGTTCTCTTCATTATAAAATTCTTCTACAATTCTCTTTTTTTAAAGAGAGGGTGGATACCCACAACAGAAAACTTAATTATAAATCTCATTTTTTATTTGATTTTTTTTATTTACTAAATCATAAAACAAATAATTATGAAATGTCTATAATTTTATAAGTGTTGTGTTGGACTGGGTTAGGAACGGGATAGCAGAATATTGTCGATGCGTACGCCGCGTGCCTTCATATATTAATTTTCTCTAAAGGAGAGTTAATGTTTTTTTTCTTTTTTTTGGGGGGGGGGGGGGGGGGGGGGGGGGTCTTAAGTCAGCATACATGTATATAAAGCTACCTCGCTGGCTAAATATGATATAATTTATTTTAGAATCCTACGTACCCAGCTGAATCCGACTATCTAATTCATAGAATTATTTATTTTTTTTTTTTCTAATATTTTTTCCTAATAAAATATTTATTAAGACATTCCCAATACAGTCTGTACGTAATCAATTCTCTTTTTAACATTTAGTTTGTTTGCAGTTAATTGAATTGTAAAAGAAAGAAAATGTTCTGGCACATGGTTTTATATGGTAATTCAACATAGCTTGTGTTTTTCTTTTTCTTTCCCTCAATGCATTTCTAATACTCCAGAAAACAAAGAAATTATAATTTTTGCATTTCTGAAATTCATATTGATATCCCTTCATTTTTTCTGTTGGTGAAAATATTTTGTAAACGTTATGTAAAATCTCTTTTTCAAATGCATTAGAATGTTGCTTTACAAATAAACTATCATCGTCGGAAATCCACGAGTGATCTCGTCTTTACTTATCACCCGGTGATGAGTGAAGATGAGATCATCCTTGGGTATCCGATGATGATAAAATATATGCTATAAAGAACAAAAATCAAATGAAAATTCATCTTCCAAAAATAATGCATGCATTCTTATTGAGTCGAGAATTTCAGCCAATGTGTATACAATTATGTTTCTAGTGACTAAATTTCCTCTACATCTAACTATAAATCTTATTCTTCTAAAATTAGGTGGGGTCTCTTACAAACGAAGTTAATCAAAAATGTACGAACGATGCATGGTTATTATTTTATTTTACAATGAATTTTAGATTATTTACATCAAATTGATTTTTAAAGTAAAATTTTGTACATTGAGATATTTTGTTGATGAACACAGAGAGAAGTCTTTTTTAACGGTTAACATATTTTTGAAATATAGTCCGTCGGACGGACGTTAATTAGTTCCCTATATTAAGGTTATCAACTACATGTATTTTGCATGCAACAGATAAAAATTTTCCGCCGATAATTGCTGAAATTTTGCCCACTCGGCATTAAGCAAAGTTCAATAAATCCATAATGTGTACATATATATTTACCTATTTATTTTTCTATACATTATGGATAATAGACATTTGATGAAAAGACGATTGGGTTTTTACTAGGAGGGGGAGGGGGGGGGGGTTAATAATGTAAAGACATAGTGGCTAACTTTTTGTCGAGCTATCCGTCCAAATTACAACCAAGCGAGAATGATGTAGAGGAAAGGAGGGTGTATATATATGAACTAGCTATCTGAAGGTGAATGTGGCTGCAGTAGAAACGGTTTTGGGTGGGAAAATCCTAATAAAATGAGCTTTCTTTTAGAGACAGGGCTAGTATCACACCATGTTTGATTTCACGTAACCACGATGTATATACATATGGATGTGATTTTTTTAAATTTAATTTAGGAATAATTATTGTAGCATGATTTAAGTTGTGATTTTATTGGCTGCATGGTTCATGTATTTAATTTGTGTAAGAAACTAGGTATTTCTGAGATCGAATTCGGATCCCTGTAAATTTTGACTCGATCTCATTGGTTCCCATTTCCTTTACATGGTGATTACGTAAAATCAAACAGTGTGTTAACTATAACTTGCAAGCTTTGATTGATTGTATACTGTAGATTCCTAATTATACGCGAGGAATTTATTTCCGCGTAATTTCGCGAGAAGCATCACTCGCGAAAAAATATTACTCGCTTTTATTTTTATGGTGCTGAAATCTATGGAAATTTTGTTAATCAACCATCCATTCGCGAATTAAAATTCTCGCGATTTGACGTTAAAGGCCAAGATCGCGATAAAAAGTACTCGCGAAAAATAAGGAATCTACAGCATTGTTTAATGTCCCTCTCGAGAATTTTTCACTCATATGGAGACGTCACCGTATGCCGGTGAAGAGCTTCAAATTTTGACCTGTACTCGGCACTCAGGGCCATTGAGCAGTGAGGGATCTTTATCGTGCCAACGCCTGCCGCTGACACGGGGCCTCGGTTTTTAAGGTCTCATCCGAAGGACCCGCAACTTTCACTTCAAAGTGCCGAGCGCATGGCGAAGGAACAGTTGCTACCCATTTTAATGACTAGGTCAGTCGCGGCCGAGATACGAACTCACGACCTCCCGATCACGGAGCGAGCGCTCTACTGCAAGCTTTGAGGATACCGGCTTTATCAAACGTAAAAGTAGCATAGTGTAGATCTAAATTTGGTTTATTGAAAGTTCAGTTATTCATACAGACAAAGCTGTCGGTACGAAAGACAGAAAAGTAGAAATTAAAGATCTTGGGGGGGGGGGGGGGGGAGTGTTGAGTATTCGCTTTTTAAAGGATTTAAAATAAAATTAACACAGTATTTGGGATTGTACATCATGATCATCTTTTTTGTCATTTATTAAGCAATTCTTTTAACTTAGACATGATGACCGATTGGATTGCTACGCGTTGACAGGTGCCCTACCGAACAACTGAGAATAAACCATGACGTCACAATTGAATCGTGAAAAAAAAACACGATATGCTCAGAGTTAATTTTGCAAACATACCAATTTCAAAATGTAATAACTTTGTTATAAATGAAGATATTTTGATTCCGTTTTCAGTTTTTGTAATGGTTTTACATGGACCATTAAAAAACACAAAAATTGCAAATTCGATAAATTTTGCCATAAGGTCGATTTCTATCCGACGAGGCTCATATAATAAGTATATGAAACATAAAGTACAAACTTAGCAAGAATCTAAGAATACATACATCAGAGTGTCCGTTGCTGCACACAATGTCCCAGTGAAATTATATCCCATTTATATCTCAATAGTGCTTATACGACAAAGTATCCACAATTATTGTATATCTATGCATTGAATTGACAGGGTATTTATACAGTATTATAAATCTAGAATATTCTAGAAAATGTTAAAACATGATATTACTGGAACAATCTGGACATACACAAAATTTAAGAATGTTCTAGATAAAATGACCAAACATGTTGACCACTCTGGAATGTTCAAGAAACTTAATGTTACTAATTATATATACATAATAAAACAATACACATCTCACAACACCTCCCCCCTTAAAAAAGTTTGAATGTCAATGAAAACTTATATTATTAAAATAAAAGTTTTGTACATTAATACAAAATCTAGTATGTTTACGATACTCTTGACAAAGCGTCTGCA